TTTTTCTTCAACAACTTTTCAACGCAATAACCCTACAATTGTGACAAAGCACTGTAACCCTTATACAGGATCACAGGTGAAACATTGCCTAGGAAGACGCACAAGTCTATATCCTCGCTTTGCACCTGGACCTAAGTATTTGATTACCTGTGTAATACTTACAATTGCATATTCTTTAACCACTAATCCTTTCCAACGCCCGCCAACAATCTCTTAGAACATGATTTTATTTTTATCATCATTATTTTTTATCAAACAAAGGTTTTATCTTAATTTCTCTTTTATATGAATATCATAACTTTTAAATTAAACATAAGTCGTATCATTTAGAATTTGCAGATATATCCAAACAAAACATCTTGTTATAGCCCTTTTTAACCCTCACAGTTTAAATTAATTAAAATAATTTTTAATAACTTACCTGTGTTAGAGAGGCTTTACCCGTTTAAACCCGGATAAACCCTTTCACTCCCAGGGCTCATCTATGGTAATTTAAACCAACAACCCTATATTGTATAATTACTTATAACAAGATTGTCATGTTGTATATAGAAACACATCTATAAATAATTATGCGCATGATTAATCTGTCATAAATTTCATCACCATATGTAATGTACTTTGTACAAACTAAAGACAAATAAATAAAACTATGTAATATATTAAGAGCTAAGTTAAAGCAAGATTGAGAAATTCAAAAACGTCTAAGATCGAGAGAGAAACCCAACAATCCTGAAGAGGAATTTAGCGAGTCGTTGCCATCGAGGCCAAAGGGTGCAGACGTTCAAAGTTCACATTCTCAGACAATCCAACAACCCTGAAAAGGAATTCGGCAGCCCGTTGCCATCTGGTCCAAAGGGTGCAGAATGCCCCAGACGTTCAAAGTTCAAATTCGCAGATGTCTCCCCCCCCTCCTCGGGAATGGTATATAAACACCTCGGTTTTAGCCGACATCAGTTAGTTAGTCCGCAGTTAGTCTCTTCACCGTCGGCGCAAGCCCTTGTCGCTTGTAGCCATGTCCACATCATCGTCATGTAAAACAGTAAGAACTCTATATCTCCATCTTGCTTAGCTCAACTCCTATCTGTTCATGGAACTTTCCTACTTCAGCTGTGTCTCTTCGTTTTGTGTGTGTGGTTCCCAAGCTTTCCACTCTGCCTCGACCACGACTGCCTGTACTCTGTGAAAACTGTTAAAGGTCTTCCAAAGTGCAGAGAGGTACTGGAAAACTCTCCACGCCCTGACTGTCCCTCTCGGTTACTACAGGTTTGACCCTCGGTTACCACAGCTTATAGCGAGAGTCGACAGGATCTCATCACAGATAAGTAGACAGCAACTCCTTTATCACAGCAAAGTCGACAGGATTCTACAAGAGGCTACCAGACCTCAACTTATTACATATATATATATATAGGTGTGTGTATAACAATATACCACCATACTTTTCACGACACCTTTTTAAATAGTTTCCCTTTTTCAATTAGTAATCAATTGTTTAATTATAATTAAAATTTTATATGTACCAATTATCCCCTAACAATAATCCACTGGGTGTCTCTAACTTTGTAATATAATTCAATAAATTTAGGGTTCCCAAAAGCAAAGAGACGCAGTTCTGTTAGTAACGGATTTTGCTTACGTCACTTCCGACCTCCCACAAGGAATTGACCAATCTGCTGCGAGCAGGCTTGCAGCTATTTAAGGCCAACGTCGTCTCAGTGGGGCATAGCGTGAATAATTAATTATATATTAAAAAAAACACACTTTTTAAAAAAAGCTTTTATTTAAAATGCACTAAAAATAACAAAATAAATATTTCTGAAGTATTGCTTTTTTTTCTGAAGGTACCATTTAACAAATAAAATAATAGACTTAGAAATAAAGCGGTGGGGTACAATAATAATAAATTTGAGATCAATGTGATTTTATATGAAGCAAATGATTAGCAAGATTATGCCTTTCATTAAATGTATACCTATTTGCTGCATAAATGATTATCATCCCCCACCGCTTTTATTTCTAAGTCTATTATTTTATTTGTTATATGGTACCTTCAGAAAAAAATGCAATACTTCAGAAATATTTATTTTGTTATTTTATGCATTTTAAATAAAATATTTTTAAAGTGTTTTCTAAAATTAATTATTTTTTAATATCAACACCTGACCCACTTATTTTTTATTTTTTTTATATTGTTTTTTCATATATATATTTTTTTTGTTTAAAAATCATTTGTACTATGTGAAAGAAATTTATTTTTGAATATATAAAGTTTTAAAAATTCAAATTTAAAATTGAAAATGATAATCTAATAATATTGTTAAAATATAAAGTGTACAAAAATGTGCGAAAGGTTGTGTTACGACGCTTTTCAGCGGTCGTTTTTTGCGTACAATGTTCAATGTAGGTTCGTTGTGAATACTTAGTTCTATATACTTTATTGCCAGGAGCTGTTAATGGAATGGGGAAATAATTACACTTAGATGGACTTGCCTCAAATATCTGCCATTAGAAGGGTCTTCCTCGTCTACGACTGGCACCCGTTCAAGTCGGACAAGCTTCTCTTGTACCGTCTCTGACACCCCCGGAGGCAACTCGCCGCAGATTTGACCAGACTCTGTCCTCCCCCACACAAGAATGCCGTTTTGGCGCCTGTCCCCCTGACACATGGCCATCCCCCCCCCCCCCCCCAGCAGCTGAGGTCCACCCATCTTCCTTCAACTTTACATTGGAATCTTGACTTTTCAGATAGCTTGTCATCCATTTTACACTGCCTCCTTCCCAATCATTTTCGTCCCAAAAATAACTGATTTCTAAAGATGTGCTGATAGGCGGCTCCTTGATCTCCCTGACCTACATGAGTCACGTCAACCTCTTGGAGCCTAACGGCAGGATTATCATCGCCAAACTCGGACTTTCTTTCCATTCTCAATCAGTGCCGACGCCGTTGATTGGTCCTGCAGGCCAGCACAGGGCGGTAGTTCTCCACATGATGGCGGCCATATTTCACTGCCTATGATGCTTCATTTGAGGTTTGGATTTTTTTCTTGTGAACTCCTCTGTAGCCGTTATGTACATTTCCAAAGGGTTGGGATCCTTTGTATTGCGTTTTCGCTGCTTCCTCCCACTCATGCGACGGGGCTGTAGATTGTCGATCTTTACAGTGGATGCCTCCAAATGATCCACGCTGTTGATATTGGGGCTGTTCAGCACGTAATCGACCTTGTTAGACCTCCGGAGGTGGTCGGTAAAGTTCTCTTCTTCTCACGGTTTTCCATTATCTTGCTTTATAAGCGCTCTCTTTCCAAACCCTCCAGACTTTGTTCCGACCCCGCATTGGACTGTGAACTTCTTAAACCTTCTGGAGACGTCGTAGCCCGTGGTAGTGCCAATGTCGGTAGAACTCTTTCTATGCGGTGGCTGTTGGATCTTTACTTTGTCGGGCGAAAGAACGAAAATGGTGGGTACTCATTCCTGGAAAATCTTTCAGCTTCTATTACAGAAGACGGTGGTGCTGACACATTGTGCGCGGCATCCGCGTCACAGACATTGTTGTCGGATTCCGCAGAGCGTCCAAAGCTTTATCCTGTTCAATCGTGTCACCGGCTCCAACTTCGGGGTGCGTCGACCATCTAGCCTTGTCACACTACCACAGAATACCCAGCTCCGTCCCGTCCATATGGATCACCGCTATAGCCCCTGACACTCTGGAAACATCGCAAAAGTCAGCCATGTCGTCGCATTATAGCTCTACAAGATAGTTGGTGTCTTCACAGTATTTTTCCTCCGCTACAATACCTGTCTGGATCATTTTCTTCCTAATGCCACTATTTTAGTGTAGTCCATATAACCATCTTGAACCTTCGCTGAGTAAAATGAGTCCTTAGTCTTACGAGAGGATTCGTCGCCTAAATCCATACTATCTTCGGTTATTCGGGCGGGATTATCAGACAAATTATTGCTTAAAATGGCGCTAATTTTATGGGTTATCTGTCTGGTAAAGTCTCCGATCAACTTCTTCAATTCTCCAATCTCGAGGCCAGTTAGTTCTTTCATCTTGCTTTTAAATTGATATGAAAAATGTAAAATCTTCAAGAATCAAAAATAATCTGTAAATCCTCGCTTCTGACACCAAATGTTACGATGCTTTTTCAGCGGTCGTTTTTTGCGTACAATGTTCAATGTAGGTTCGTTGTGAATACTTAGTTCGATATACTTTATTGCCAGGAGCTCTTAATGAAATGGGGAAATAATTACACTTAGATGGACTTGCCTCAAATATCCGCCATCAGAAGGGCCCTCCTCGTCTACGGCCGGCTCCCGTTCTGATGTAACCGGACTCTGTTCTTCCCCATACATGAATGAAGTAAACGAATGCCGTTTTTAGCGCCTGTCCCCCTGACACATGGCCATCCCCCGCAGCTGAAGACCACCCATCCCTCCACCAACCTTACTCTGTAATCTTGATTTCTCGGATAGCTTGTCATTTATTTTACTGTTGATTATTATACCATTAACAATTTATTCAAATAATATTGTGAAATTTGAAAAATAATTTTTATCTAATATATAATTTAAAATACAATATAACGCGGCTGATGATTGTAAAACGAAAATTGCAATTATAGCGCGAATGTTTCTTTTAAACAAAAATCGAAATCTATTTTTAAAGAGAAATAACGATTATTTCTAACTTTAAGGATGAAGTATGATAGGATGTATTGTGAAGAGTAATGACAAACGGAAAAATAAAAGTGTCCAGGGGCGGGAATCGAACCCACAACCTTCTGCTTACCGGGCAGGTGCCATGTCCACTAGGCTACCCTGGACGTATTTTTCCGTTCTTAAATAATATTTAAAGTAACTTATAATACATTTAAAATACAATATAACGCGGCTGATGATTGTAAAACGAAAATTGCAATTATACCGCGAATGTTTCTCTCTCTCTTTTAAACAAAAAATCGAACTTTAAATATTATTTACGAACGGAAAAATACGTCCAGGGTAGCCTAGTGGACATGGCACCTGCCCGGTAAGCAGAAGGTTGTGGGTTCGATTCCCGCCCCTGAGCACTTTTATTTTTCCGTTTGCCATTACTCTTCACAATTCATCCTATCATACTTCATCCTTAAAGTTAGAAATAATCGTTATTTCTTTTTAAAAATAGATTTCGATTTTTGTTTAAAAGAAACCTACGCGGTATAATTGCAATTTTCGTTTTACAATCATCAGCCGCGTTATATTGTATTTCAAATGTATTATAAGTTACTTTAAATATTATTTACGAACGGAAAAATACGTCCAGGGTAGCTTAGTGGACATGGCACCTGCCCGGTAAGGCAGAAGGTTGTGGGTTCGATTCCCGCCCCTGGACACTTTTATTTTTCCGTTTGTCATTACTCTTCACAATTCATCCTATCATACTTCATCCTTAAAGTTAGAAATAATCGTTATTTCTCTTTAAAAATAGATTTCGATTTTTGTTTAAAAGAAACATTCGCGGTATAATTGCAATATTCGTTTTATAATATATAATTTATATATAGATTTATAACATTTTTATATATTTTTAAATTATTTTTCATATATAGGTTTATATTATTTGCATTATATTCGCGCTCTTTTTGGCTGTTCACTGACACATGACCTCAATGAGACATCAGCGTTCAGTTCCATAGTAAGTAAATCAGCCATTATATTGCTTATAAGAACGAAATCTAATATTAAATCTATTAATTGCGTATTGATAAGTTCATTAATTGAAATGATTCCATCGTTTCAATAATGAAGTAAATGTGATGATAAGTGCAATGCTAACCATATTAGATATTCACTAGTTGTGCCTAACATGCAATTTCCTATATAATGATCATATTAGAGAAAATATACTTGTCATTTAAACATAGTCAAACCTAGAGAATTCATTTTCCTGAATAACGTACCGATTTTGAATGTAAATCATTTTTTTTTGTATCGGAATTCGAAAATACAAAAATTCTGAAATTAATTGATTAATCTGTCTTGTGAAAGTGGATATCCTTGAATAAAATCTAACTAGGCGCTAGACGGTTTAACTACACAGGATGTGAGTGGCAATATTTTCACATCTGTACGCCACGGTGGAAGGTGGGTCGTAAAGATGGACCTCCCCGATAAGCCGTCAGAAACAATCGATGCGGACGTGTCAAACAAAGATGATGGTGCCAGTGCTAATTATATTTCTTTCTTTATTGGAAGACCATTAGGGCCTTCGATTGGGCCGTTTATCTCACCTGCTCTCATCCCCATGGGCCCCGTGATTTGATATTCCATCCGGACTGCACCAAACAATCTGGAAAAACTTTTCCATTTCATCTCCTCGCCTCCCCAATTCGCAGAGTTTCCTCTCCACACTAGCTCTTCCTGCCATCAATACGGCTTATTGTTTTAGCAGGTTTTCCGAGAATTCATTCGAATGTTAGGGAGAACTTTTAGCCTCCGCGCCTATATTCATTTTCTTGTAAAACATTTTCATGGGAAATTATCAATTTTACTAGATATCTGAATTTTGGTCAAGTTCTGATTTACGATAAGCATATTGCCGATTTAGGCTATTCTCTTTATTTCACCGGAATTAGCCTATATATTTCCATGTTTTTATTTATTCAAACTGAAAAATAACTATCTTGTTTGTGTATAAAATTGAGATTCTCTGTTTTTCTCAATGGTATAAAATGAAATATCATGCGTGGTCTAAATTTTATATTCCAATGGACATATCTCACAGGTACACTGGCTAACTACATAGGATATCTGAAATTTAGAGTTGGTCTGTTTATATACGTTCAACCTTTTAAAAACTCTTTAAGCTTAACACCTCCTTTTCCTTTATTTTTATCTAGTCTATTTTTTTACTGGAAAACTTATATACCTGAAACAATTATAATTAGTAAAAAGAGGGAGGGTATTTCATATATAAAATGGTTATTTTTTAATATCACATCTTAAACGTTTTATAAGCTCATTTTAAAGTTATTCGCGCCTAATATGTTTGTATATATTTTTTAAATAAAATTTTGCGTGGACACTTTCTAAGCCCCGTTTTGTAACACGTAATCACCACGTATCATAAAAATTATATAATTGTCCCTGGGTTAAAAATCTATACGCCTATATATAACATTTATATGTAATATACTCTGATTAGTGCGAGTTATGATTTTCTCACAGTCACAAAACCCGGTAATACTTGACCGATAAAAATAGTTGGGTCGAATTGTCAAATTATATTGACAAATATTTGCAATCTTATCATATCTTATCTCAGGTTTTAGTGGAAAGAATTTGTGTTTTCGTTTGTTTGTGAACAAATCTCTCCCGCCTTCTCATTGGACGAATGTGGCCATGTTTGTATATAAAGGGGGCTATGGTATGAGTCGAGGCGAGTGTGGTGGATCATTGTGTGGAGACGCTTAAAGTGTTCTCTGCGTGATTTATCCGTGTCTGGCTATTTCCACGCATACCTGTGTAACCCCGGTCCGATCCCTACCTAAGCAGCAATAAAGCTAAGTACTGTTTTTTATTTTATTTAACAAATTGTGATTTATTATTTACTTGTTTTATTGTACTTTTGATTCCACGATTTTTCTATGTTTAAGTTACTCTTACTGTAGGCCCTAGTATATTGTATTTGTGTGTTAACCCGTAAATAGTAACTTTTGTCATTGGCGAGCCCTGCCAGGATTACTGGTGTTTTGCACGTGAAAATTCCTGTAATTTCATGTGCGTTTTTTTTCTTTGATTGAGTGGTTTATTATTTTTTTTTTGTACTCCATCATGTTCGCGAATTCTTTGCTCAACTTGTCAGTGTTTAATGGGGTTAATCTCGAATATTTCATTCGGGAAGTCGAGCTTAAAGCTCAGGTAGGCAAATGGGATCCTGAGGTCAAAGCATTGCTCATGTTCGAAGCTTTATCCCCTGAGGTTAGGTTGAGCTTAGAGGAGATGGGTATCCGTAACGATAGCAGTTTCGAAAGTATTGCTTGTAAACTGAACATATTGTACCCTAAGAAAGCGCGTGGTATTAGGGAATGCCTTAAATTAATAGAAGGTCTTAAGCAGAGAGTTGGGGAAAGTCCTATGGTTTTTAAAGAAAGATTCCTGGCCATTAGAGATAAAGTAGTGTACAGTTTTGACGATAGCCTAGTGTTCGAAATTTTCTTCGAAAATGTGCTCGATAAGTATAGAGAGGCTATTGTTCGCAGTGAGGCTAAATCAATAGACAAAGCAGTCAGTGTCATGGCCACGGAGGATAGTGTAGAACGCCGTTGCAGCTTTATGAAAGGGGTATGTTCAGTAGAAGGGGTTGAAGAAATAAATAGCATTAAGAGTGAGATGAAGATGCTTAGTGCCAGTGTAAACAGGATGAAGCTCGAAAATGAGCAGTATATTACAGATCTTAGAGGTGAGATAGAAAAACTGACTAAATTGTTGGGCGAAATCAGGCTGAGTCCACCTGAGTGTAGCTTAGGACATATAGCTAGTGATTGCTTAGGACAGTCTTCTATGTTTTCCAACCGCAATACTCTTGACAATGCTGAGATAGTGAGCATACGTTCATATGGAGGAAATCAGTTTAGAAATCTGCCAATAGTTAAGGTGAATATTAACGTCAATATGTGGCCCCTGTTATACGATACAGGAAGCCAAGTCAGTATTATTGATTCCGAAAAGTGTAATGTCTTGAAGGAGAATTGGGACGATGCACTTAAAACTTTACGTATAGTTTCAGTGGCAGGCCACGAGCAGACACTTACACGTGTTAAAACCTGTAGAGTTGGTAACGGAAACGGCAACCAGCTGGGAGAGATACGATGTTTAGTTGATTTCTGTTCCACCAGATGGCGCTCTGCCTTCTGTAAAGCACATGTGCTCCAGGTCAGGATATGCCATTGTTAATATATATATATATATATTTTTTTTTTTTGCGAAGTAGTACCTCTAACTGGGAATACTTCAATCCAATTTGAATTTGCATCTACTACCAATAAGTAACAATCACCTCTAAAATAGAAATGGTCAACATGAACTCGCTGCCACGTTTGGTTAGTACTGGGCCAAGGTGTGTTCTCAGCAAGAGGAGCTGTCTGATGATCCATACAGGGAGAACATTCCTTCACAAACTCTTCAATTTACTATCTATTTTTGGCCACCAAACCGAAGATCTGGCTAGAGATTTCATGCGATTGACTACAATATAACTTTGATGAAGTAACTTCAACATTTGATATTGACAGATTCTCGGAATTACTGCCCTAAAATTAACATATACCCATCCCAGTAGTTTAGAAAAATACTCCAATTTTGAAAGGAAATGTTTCATTTTTCATCCTTTTTTGCTAACTTAAGGTCTTCTTATAGATATTCCTTGAGCTTATTTAAAACCGAATCTTTATTGGTTTATTCTTCAATAATGAGGTGGTCCAATGGAGTCACATTTAAAAGTGATATATCATGTGTCACCAAATCAATGTTGTCTTCCCTTGAATTTATTTCCTCAAGTGGAAGTCTTGAAAATGCATCCGCGCAGAGCATGGTATTTTTTATTTGTATATCTAATATCGAAATCAAAATTTGACAACTCTAAAGCCCACCCATGCAAGCGATTAGCAATTGATGGCGGAAGAACTCTTTTGTTTCCAAAAACAGTCGTTAAAGCTTTATGATCACTCTTTAACACAAATTTTCTCCCACACAAGTATTGTCTCAGTTTGGAAGTTGCAAACACAATAGCAAGTGCTTCTTTCTCAGTCTGAGAGTATTTAGCTTCTGCACTTGACAATGTTCTGGAATCAAAGGTGATTGGCTTCTCTTCCCCTTCCACAATATGACACAAGACCCCACTTATGCCATAGGCAGATGCATTGCAGGTTAAAGTTAATGGAAGCTTCATTGAATAGTGAATAAGCGCCTGGGAATTTAATAGGGTTAACTTCAAATTTAAAAATGCCTTTTCGCATTGGCTAGACCATTTCCAACGATTGTCTTATTTAGGAATTGATATAGGGGACCAGCCAAAGTTGATGATTAGATATGTACAAGGTGTGTTCAAAAAGTTTCGCGACTTTTGTGTTTTCAAAAATTATTTATTTATTCATGAATACCTATTTTGTCCCCTTCAAAGTAATCCCCATTAGATATTATACACTTGTGCCAACGGTTTTTCCAATCTTCGAAGCACTTCAAAAATATCATTTTTTAAAAATCTTTTTCAGCTCCTCCTTCGATGCCGTCTTTATCTCGTCAAGCGTAGCGTAACGTCGTCCTTTCATGGGCCTCTTCAGTTTAGGGAACAAGAAAAAATCACAGGGGGCCAGATCTGGGGAATACGGTGGC